CTAACCGCTAACCATAAAATAAAAGAGTTGAATGAGCCTGACCTACACGGGATTTGGCCATCAAGTAAACAAATGAACATCATTGGTTTGCCATTCTAAAAACGTTTGTAGGAAGATTAGAATAGGGAGTGTCAATTTTTTTCTCTTTCCTCTGTGGAACGGGCCAACTTACCGTACACATGCGGATTTAAACGGGTCCAGGAGTGTCAATTTTTTTCTTTAAGCTCTTTTATTTCTCCGTGGTGATAAAATATATATGAAAAGACAAAAACAATACTCCTTTTTATTGATAGAAATAAAAAATTTAACAATAAACTAATGCATGGTATCTAATGGGCTAACCGGTAACCATAAAATAAAAGAGTTGAATGGGCCTGGCCTACACGGGATTTGACCATAAAGTAAAACAAATGAACATCATTGGTTTGTCATTCTAATAGGGGTGTAAGTTTGGCCCTTAAAACCCACTGACCCGCCCCGACCCTCAGGGTCGGGCTGGGTCAGTTTGTCTATAGGGTCAATTTAGGGTCGGGTCAGCTTAGGGTCGGGTCAGGGTCAGATAGGGTCGCGTCAATTTAGGGTCGGGTCACTTTTTGACCCATGACCCTTAGCATCATACAAACAAGTTGGACCTATTTGTAAAATTTTAAAAATTTAGGTACTAAATTGTAAAAATTAAAAAATTTGGGTACCTAAACGTAATTTTACCATCAAATTTTAGGGACTTATTTGTAAAAAAAATTAAATTTAGGTACTAAAATGTAAGAAAAAATAAATTCGGGTACCAAATTGTAATTTTTAGAAAAATAGTCTATTTATTAGGGTCGACCCACTGACCCGACCCTTCCTGACCCGCCCCGACCCTAAAGGGTCAGACAGGGTCATGAAAGAAACAGGGTCGGGGCGGGTCAGTTATACATCTTGACCCTTCAGGGGTCAGTTATACATCTTGACCCTTCAGGGGCGGGTCAGACAGGGTCAGGACAGGGTCAGGGGCGGGTCGGGCCAATTTTCAGCCCTACATTCTAAAACAAGCTATTTTCTCTGGCATAATATATATTATGCTATTATTTTATATCTTAGTGGCTAAAATATAATGTATTTTAAAGTTATTCAATGGGCCAACCACGACCAACCCAATTAGTCCAATTTTTATCATTTCAAATATATATTATATAATTATTTGATATCATAATGATCAAAATATAGTGTATTTTACAGGGAATCGTTTGGTATTTGTTAATAAAAAACTAAACAGAAAGATATATTTGGTTATTTTAAACATTAAAACGATCCTAAACATTTTCAGTTCCTTTTGAATTTCTATGGTTTTATTCCCGAATAAGTGATGTGCAAATGGCAAATTGCAGTCATCTCTTTTCTTTCACTATTTTTTATTTTCAAATAGAAAGTTTAAAGTAAAGAATAATTAGAATTTGGCATGGGTCAGTCAAATAGGCTGAATTTCAAGTTTTGGCCCGTTTTGATCAAGTCTAATTTATAATCACATGGTTCCCTGATACTCGATAAAAATCTTAATCCAAACCAGTTTGGCAGGTGAGTTCGTGTTTACCACCATTTTCTAGGGATACGACAACGGCGCCGGTTCCTATCCCAAATCGTGTTGTTCGTTCTTGATTTTCTTAGATTTTATCATGGCCTGACAAATACCAGAAAGCACAATGACGACAAGATGAAAGTTTTATAAAGCAAATTAATCGGCCAACGAGTAAAGTAAAAGCTAGCAACGTTTGTGAGATGCTCATTTCCCAAAAACGGACGAGATAGACGATTTTTTATTCGATTTTCTGGAATTCAGTTTCTATAAAACTTACTCCACCTCATCATATTACCAGAAACAATATTGTTTCACAAGGTAACAGGTACTTGATTTTGGTTCATAAGGCCGATTTTTGATTCGTTGCATCATTCATGTCTCTTTCCTTCTAAAATTCATTATTTTTATTACGTGTTTCCCAAAAAAAAACTATACAACAATAAGCTATACAACCCATTACATTATCAAATTTCATACCTCACCTTCTTCCGACCAACTGGTCGGGGCCCACGCTAGTTGCTATATAGGACCCACCACTTGGTCATTACGGGTTCTTCTGTTATCCGCGACATAATTCCATTCACCATTTCATCAAATTCCTTAGTAGTGGGTAGTATTGTTAGGAACGGAACAACAAAAGGAACGAGGTTACCGAATCTGGAGCTGAGTCGCGGACTAGGTCGCTCTCTTTAAGACGTTCGCGGCACTGCCTTCGATGCGCACGACAGACTATCAACCGGTCGTCTCTAGGATAAAACAGGTCCTCTCAATACTCGCGGTTTTGTGCGAAAACCGAAGCTCTCTAAACACTCTCTCTATTGTGTTTCTGCTCGTTGTGATGTGATTAGAGGGGCTGGGGAGCCGAACCCCTAGGAATATACCCTCTTGCTTGGGGAATAAGTCGGATTAATTAAGGAAGATAATTACTTCCTTAATTAAAACCGTCGGTTAAGATAAACCCGGAGGGATTATCCTTCGAATATTCCTTTTCAGTCGATTATCCCTTAGAATATTCCTCAGAATAACCGATTAATAATTAATTATTAGATAAGTAATTTCGTTCGGAATTTCTGTAAAAAATATATATGTAGTATCAAGTGAACCAATCAACCAACTAACCAACCGGCCGGTCGGACGGCGCGCGCGCGTGTGTGGTGGTCCGTTAGGTCCTTCCTCTCACACAAAAGTGGGTCACCCCAAGGGGCATGCCCTTGGGAGAGAGGCCCCTATCTTTATACCCATTTCACCAAGTAAAACTACCAATGTGGTAGTTTTTCCACTTGAGACTCTATAGCTTTCAAAGCTATTCATATACATTTCCAACAAGTATTTCATGAATATTTAGAGCAAAAGATATAACTTTATTCCTGAAATTTGTAGAGGGTTTGATTCACACGTTAACTCATGCATTTTTACTATAAAGAGGGGGAAAACTAGAAGAGATTTCATAAATGGGTTCAATTCTAAATCATATATATACTAAGGTGAAGTCCAGGTATCAAATTCTTGTAATTTCCCAAATTGGTCATCGATGATGACCTATTTGGTACTTAAATATAAGAAGTAACCAATTTTTTCTTCTTATATTTTGATACCTGGATCTATTTACATAAAAAGCTAGAAGAGATTTTATAAAACACCCCATAAGTTTATTAAACAGTCTACAAGTCCATGAAGCAAATTGCAAGTTTTTTAATGATAGACATATTTGCAGATTTTTATAATTTCGAGGTATCAAAATATAAGAAGAAAAAATTAGGTAGTCAAATGTAATTCTCGTCGATATTTTTAGGAAGGGTTAATTCCATTTTGTACTCCTCTACTATGCTAAATTAACAAACATACCTCTCTACTAATTTTTTTGCACAAACATACACTTCTAATATTAAAACGTAACGAGTCTACCCTTCCATCCAATTATCCGTTAAGTTGTCGTTAAAGGGGCTGTGAAATTACTCAACTACCCCTCATTTAATTCTAAACATTCCTAATTTCGGTATTAGTTGTTTTATGTCCCAAATTAAGTAACTAAAAAAAAATAGAACCCCTAACTGCCGGTTAAGTTTTCCCCACACTCTAACTGAAGCAGTCTTGACAGATCTCCGCCGACACCGAGTGCTGAAACTCCGGGAATCCACCTCCGTTAGACGACCACCACCGTGGCAGAATAAAAACAGGGGGCACAAGGTTCTAGCTTGACGTAGAACAGAGGATAAGGATTTATGAATGTAGTAACCCCCAATGTTTTTTTTTTTTTCTAGAGCTTGAGCATTATCGTCGTAAGAAACATGATCAGGAGAAACAAGGGTCGCCATTGATGAAGCTTCTTTCTTCTTTTCTCTTGGGAGTTATTTATTTATTGGAATGAAGAGTGGATGTGAGAGTGTCGCCGGAAAATCCTTCTCCGTCGTCGCTGGTCGTCGGAAAAATTTCCTTCGGTCGCCGGGAAAATTTCCTCTGTCGGCAAAATCTCTCTTTCTCTCTGCATCCGCACAACTTTCCATCTTGCCGGAAAGGGACGGAAAGGCAGCCGGCGGAAGGGACATGGACGAGAAAAGTTCCCTCGCCGGAAAATTTGTCAGGCCGATGGAGGGGATGGAAAAGCAGTCGGCGGTAGGAACGGGGAGGGGACAGTGGAAAAGCAGTCGGCGTTAGGGACAGACAAATTTTTTTATTTACTTTATAATTAAAATTTTAAATAATTATACAATTACTACATTGTCTTTTATTAATTTGGATTAATTGGAGTCATTAGATTTTAATGAGATGGAAGGGCTGAAATTGACTTAGTCATGTGACTAAAACACCCCTTAGTCACTTGATCTTATCCCTGGACAGGAGCGAGACAGCGTGGATTAGAAATTTGGGCAAGAGAAGCTCTGTGTATTGCGATCTCTCATATGAGCCCAGTTGAAGCAGAACAATCATTTCCTTGTTTCCCCAATTTCATTTTTGTTTCAATTGGGCGAGGGATTTATTATTAGAATCTAAAATCTATAGGGTTAATTGCATGGTTGGTCACTGACATTACAAAAAGCGTTCATGTTTGGTCACTAGAAAAATTTAAATCCAACTTTGGTCACTAACTTTACAAAAACCGTTCATTTATGGTCACTCTCCATTAGCTGCCGTCCAACGCCGTTAACGGAGTCCGTTAAGTGATGACGTGGCTGACGGATTCGCCTAATCAGCACCTTTTGACCCCAAAATTGACTGACCCGATCCGCCACGTCAGTTAAACCATCCATCTCAGCAAAACCTAACCAAACCTCTAACCAAACCAGACCACACCCGACCCGACCCAACCCACCAACAAAAATGACCCACCCGGGCCACCCGCCACTAATAAAAACCTAATTTCTAAAACCTACAGGACATTCCCCTTCTCCTCTCCATCCCGCGCCGCCTTCATCTCTCCCGCGAAACTTCCTCTCCGCTCGTTTCATCGGCGACGAAGGAGGAATGGAGCCTGCGCCACAGTGTGGTTGACTCCTTTCTCCAGGGCGCCGATGTTGATGGAGAGGTAGAACCAGTTGAAGAAGGATCCCTTTCTCGCCTTCTCCCCCGGGTCGGAGTCGTCGAACTGGTCCTCCCCGAACGACGACACGCAGGGCTTGATCCCGCCGGTCCCCAGCGCTATCAGGTACAGCCCCACGAAGAAGACCGACGTCTGGGACCTGGTCGCATGGCAGACGGGGCTCGCGGAGTAGTAGTCGCAGGTTGGTTTCAGGACGTGGATTGATGCTGACAGTGTGAGCAGAGCCATCCCCTGCAGAAGAAAAAAAATTGTGAGTGAGGAGGGTTCTACCTCTCCATCTAATTCCCTCTCCTAAACCAAACTCACATCTCCTCAAAACCATACTTCCTCTACACTCACTGTAGTCGACCAACATCAATCAAGGAGACAAATAAAGAAAGAAACATACAAACAGTAGAGTCCATCCATCCACGGACAGACGGCAAACTTCCCCCCACTGCCTTTTGACTTTCTCCTCCTCATCCTCCATCTCCCCCCCACTAAACAACAAAACTGAGGCCTCTTCCCCTTCTTTCCCAAATCTCCATTAACTATTATTCCAACTACAACTAATTACAAACCCAACCACAACAAACCCTTCCCTTCCTTCTTTCTCTCCCTCTCTGTCTTCTCTGCTTAATCATTTTTGTTTGCTTCATCAACTTTTTCTTAATCCAACCTCTAATCGCAGCCCTGGCCAACCCCTGGGGTGACCGGCCCGGTCGGCGGCCTCCCGGGCGGCCTCGACCTCCACCACCACCCTTCCCTCCACAATTCCGCCCTCAACAACGAAGACGACGACCACAACAGCGGCGGCAGCGGAAGCGGCGGCGGAGGCGAGCCCAAGGAAGGCGCAATCGAAGTTACCAGGCGAGCCCAAGGAGAACAGTCAACCACACTGTGGCGCGGGCTCCATTCATCCTTCGTCGCCGATGAAACGAGCGGAGAGGAAGTTTCGCGAGAGAGATGAAGGCGGCGCGGGATGGAGAGGAGAAGGGGAATGTCCTGTAGGTTTTAGAAATTAGGTTTTGATTAGTGGCGGGTGGGTCATTTTTGTTGGTGGGTTGGGTCGGGTCGGGTGTGGCCTAGTTTGGTTAGGTTTGGCTGAGATGGAGGGTTTAACTGACGTGGCGGGTCGGGTCAGTCAATTTTGGGGTCAAAAGGTGCTGATTAGGCGAATCCGTCATCCACGTCATCACTTAACGGACTCCGTTAACGGCGTTGGACAGCAGCTAACGGAGAGTGACCATAAATGAACGGTTTTTGTAAAGTTAGTGACCAAAGTTGGATTTAAATTTTTCTAGTGACCAAACATGAACGCTTTTTGTAATGTCAGTGACCAACCATGCCATTAACCCTATAGATTTTAGATTCTAATAATAAATCCCTCGCCCAATTGAAACAAAAATGAAATTGGGGAAACAAGGAAATGACTGTTCTGCTTCAACTGGGCTCATATGAGAGATCGCAATACACAGAGCTTCTCTTGCCCAAATTTCTAATCCACGCTGTCTCGCTCCTGTCCAGGGATAAGATCAAGTGACTAAGGGGTGTTTTAGTCACATGACTAAGTCAATTTCAGCCCTTCCATCTCATTAAAATCTAATGACTCCAATTAATCCAAATTAATAAAAGACAATGTAGTAATTGTATAATTATTTAAATTTTTAATTATAAAGTAAATAAAAAAAATTTGTCTGTCCCTACCGCCGACTGCTTTTCCACTGTCCCCTCCTCGTTCCTACCGCCGACTGCTTTTCCATCCCCTCCATCGGCCTGACAAATTTTCCGGCGAGGGAACTTTTCTCGTCCATGTCCCTTCCGCCGGCTGCCTTTCCGTCCCTTTCCGGCAAGATGGAAAGTTGTGCGGATGTAGAGAGAGAGAGAGAGAGAGAGAGAGAGAGAGAGATTTTGCCGACAGAGGAAATTTTCCCGGCGACCGAAGGAGATTTTTCCGACGACTAGCGACGACGGAGAAGGATTTTCCGGCGATACTGCTAGATTTGTGATGTTTGTTGATCTATTTTGTAATGTTTGTATCGATTCGGTTTGTATTGTTTATCATTCTTGTTTGTCATTTTTAGTGACATTTTGTACGGTAAGTATGCTTTGTTCTATTTGTTGGTTGATTTTTGTAAACTTTGTTATTTTGAATGTTTGTGGGTTTCTTTTGTAATGTTTGTAAGCTTGGTTATTTCTGTGAAACATGTTTATCATTTTTGTCAACCATGTTTGTAATGTTTTTTATGCCTAAAAAAAAACCTGGTTGACTTTTGGATGGAACTCTTCTATATAGGGATGAAGCCTCCAAAGTCAACCCGAGTGTTTTTTCAGTTTGTATGAATTTTTGGTCTAGTTTGTCATTTTTGTCCACCATGTTTGTAATGTTTGTATGTCTAAAAAACACCCGGGTTGACTTTGGGAAGGAGCCCCACTATATAGGGATGGAGCCTTCAAAGTCAATCTGGTTGTTTTTTCTTTTTGTATGGTTTGTATTGTTTGTCCGTCTAGTTTGTATTATTTGTACAGTTCATATGTTTGTAATGTTTGTAAATCTGTTTGTATGTTTTATCACTCTAGTTTGTACTGTTCGTATGTTTGTATGGTTTGTACTGATTGTAAGCCCGGTTTGTATACTTCGTAATTTTCCATAATACCCAAACTACCCCTGTCATTATTTAAATAGCCCTTCCCACTTTTTAACCATCAAATTGATGTGTCTAGATCTAAGGACTGGGAGGTAGGGCTGGGAAAATAGACCAGACCGTTAGAAAAACCGTGGTCCAAACCGTACCGCACAGTTTGGTCTGGACCGTAGACCGTTACGTATGATCTGGTCCATGGTCTGGTTTATTTTATGTTTTGATCTCTTGGTCTGGTCTAGACCGCGGTTTACCGGACCAAACCGTGGACCCAACCGACTTGTCAATACGTGTTAATAGCCCATTCGATCACCCTCCCAACTCATACAACGACACCCAAATCTCAACCTTAATTTTGAGAATCTCGTCTCTCCTTCGTTCACAACCACATTTAACCAGAGTAGAGATAATTGTGTCTCCATATGACAGACATTATGTTAATGTTTATAACGTTATGATGCAAGTTTACATTGCTTTTACTTTGTATTTTTGTTATTTCTAAGATTTAGGATATCAAAATTATTCATGCATGTTAGGATTAATGTTTTAAGGCAAATAACAATTATTTTTCTTGGTTATTGGTTCAATTTTTTGTGTGGTTGACTAAACAAATTATTCATTTTTCTTTGAGTGTGGTCTATCTGGACCAGACCAAACCAGACCGCAGAGGCGTGGTCTGGACCGGACCGTATAGTCTGTGGTCTGGTCTGTGGTCTATACTTCAGCCTCTTGGTCTGGACCATAGATGGTATATATGGTCTGGTCTGGACCAGACCGCACCGTTTCCCAGCCCTACTGGGAGGGGCTTAGTCAAGTGACTAAGCACCCCCCAGTCACCGGATCCTCTCTCCTCCTGTCCATCCTCCAGGGACTAATCAGCGCACCCCGATTTCCTCGGGCCCAACATCTTCTGGTCACCGCCGCCTTCGTCTTCCGACTTAAACTCCTTCTCCAACTCGTTCGTGTTGTCCAGCCGCGGTGTCCGTCGTCTGCCGGAGGTGGATTCCATGAGTTTCAGGCTCGGTGTCGGCGGAGATATGCGAAGATTACTTCAGTGAGGATGCAGGGTAAACTCAAGCGACAGTTAGGGGTTTTATTTTTTTAATTATTTAATTTTGGGCATAAAACAACTAATACCAAAATTAGGAGTGTTTAGAATTAAATGAGGGGTAGTTGAGTAATTTTACTGTCCATTTAACGACCACTTAACAGATAATTGGATGGAAGAGTAAACTGGTTACGTTTTAATATTAGAAGGGTATGTTTGTGCAAAAATTTAGTAGAGGGGTACGTTTGTTAACTTAGTATATTAGAGGGGTACAAAATGCTATTAACACTTTTAGGAATTCTATGTAAAATATTAATTCTAGGTACTGAATATTAAGATCTATTAAATTCGAGTACCGAAACTGTAATTTTGTATATAAAACCCCATGGATGCAACATAAATGAAGAGAGAGGAAGCAAAAGAGGAATGAGAAGGAAATTTACTATAATACCATTATTAAAAGTGTAAGTACCAACACCATATTTGTTTACAAATTTCAACATCACCTTTAAGATTTATAACTATTTTCTGTTATTATGTAAATACAATCTCATCTATAAAAAAAAGAAATCGTACTAATAAGTTGCCTTTATTTAAGGAAATAACTTCCCTTTTTGTGAAGCAAAGAAATAGTAGAACATTTAATAATAGGCACCCCTACAAATTGCATATGGATTAATCACATAGATAGAATTGTCATATCTTCAATACTTCATTATGGAAGCTTATCAGCACCATTAACTACTGAAGACATATATTTGTATATATAATGTGCATATATCCTCAGTGCAGAACAGTATATAGATTGAATTCAAGAAAGAAAAGAAAAAGCTTCTACTCTTCACATACACAGTAAAATATATCTTTAGTGACAGACAATTATATTATATACTTGTCATGGGGAGGGGAAGCAGCAGCGGAGTTATCTCAACGGTAACAATTCTGAGCACCATCCTCGCGAATCTAGTGCTCTCTGCTACCACCGTAACGGCGTTCTCCTTCTGGCCGCACCACTATGTACACGTCACCAACCAGCTCACCGGCGGGAAGGTGTTGCTTGTCCACTGCAAGTCCGGCAGCGGCGATCTCGGGGTCCAGGCCATCAACCCTGCCAACGAGTTCAACTGGCGGTTCAGGCCGTGGAATCTCTACGTGTCGACTTTGTATTGGTGCTACATAGCCCCCGACGACAACCACCACATCTATTTCGATGCATGGACGGAAGATGTCGCCGGAAAGTACGAGTTCGATTACAACATGTACTGGGTCGTTAAAGACGACGGACTCTATGTGAGAGTTCCAACCCGCGGCGATCTGTCTGTGAAAAAATGGGATCAGGGGAGGATGGAAGAACAAGAGAAACCTAATTCTTGACTCTTTTTTATTTAATCATTAATCAAAGGGAAATGATAAATCCCATGTTGATTTCTCAAATAATTGTTTCTGAACTGTCGAGATCCAAATTGTAACAGTTTGTGAATCATAAGCAATTGGCTAGTTTATTCTTATTTGTTTTCTGGCGAGAAGACTTAGTGTGAGCATAATTGAATTTACATCTTGACTTTTAAATTTAGATGAGTTGACCTAATAAGGGAAAAGGATGGAGGGACATGCTTGATATTGTGAAAAATTGGGAGAGTGGGAAGGAACCAACGTACTAAGGTTGTCGCAACCGTCCCTCGAATTGGGGGTAACGTGTAGTGTTCACTACGGAGTCTCCTTCGATCTTACTTGGAGTAGATAGAACACTCTTCGCTTTGCTTTAACTTTCGGAGTTCAAGTCATGTCATGGTCTGCGGATTAGAAATCTAAGTTCGGGAATCCGATTACGTGTGGGAAATTTTAGCACACCCTACGACGCTCTGATTCGGTACTACTTAAATTGATAAGTTTATATGAGTAGGTGTATTTTTAAGGATAAATACAATATATTAGCCACAACTTTTAAGCATCGGGAAATTATAGCCGCAACTATCGAAATATAAATTATTAGTCAAACATGGACTCTCTGTTAGCAATTCCGTTAGTAATGCTGAGCTCGCTCCCACATGGCAGCCACCATATCATATTAAAATTTTAATTTTAAAAATAAATTATTAAATAATTAAGACAATGAAAGGAAAATAATCTAAAAATTTATAGACTCTTCTTCCTCCCCCCTAGATCCGCTCTCCCTCCCCTGCGCTCTCCACTAGGGGTGGAAATCGGTAGGTATCGGTATCCCAATACCAAATACCGAAATCCCGAATACCGAATTACCTCCTAAAGTCAATCCCAATCTCAATCCCTAAATAATTTCCGTATCCCAATCCCTAAATATTTCAGTATCCCAATCGGTACTTCGGTATCCCAATCGGTATTATCGAATACAAAATTAATTACCTTTGCAATTAATAATTAAATGTATAAATTAGATTTTATTGTTTAATTTAGGGGGAAAAGTCTAAGCAAAGAATCTTGAATTAGGATATTATTAAGGAGAATGGAGGAGAGGATACATATCAAGTTCTTGTCATTGGTAATCGTCAATTTGACGAATTGGAGGTTGAGAGACGACTATTAATAGTGATGAAATTATCTATGTATAATTAAATTACACTCTTGGTGGTTGAGGTTCGTGTAGTAGTGAACGAGAGAGTCTAGTTGAGAGGATAAAATACACACTAGCTTATATTTCGGTATTGATCGGTATTTCGGTATATACCAATCCCGTAATCCCTAATACCGAATAACAATTGAAATTCAATCCCAATCCCAAGTAATAATACGTGTATTCGGTAATACCAAATATAAACAAATTCGGTACGGTATTCGGTATATCCCAATTACCGGTACCAAACTTCCAGCCCTACTCCCCGCCACCACCACGACTTCCTCCTCCTTCATCTCCTCTGACCTCAAGAAGCTCTCCGTCCCCGGCCACGGAAGATGCAAGAAGAATAAAATTAGGTACTAAAATAAAAATTTTCATTGATATTTTTAGGAATTATATGTAACAAATTAATTTTAGGTTATAATTATTAAAATATATTAAGTTCAGGTATCCAAGTTGTATTTTTGTATATAAAACCCCAATGGAAGCAACGTAAATGAAGGAAAAGGGGATGAAGCAAAAGGGAAATAAGAAAAAGGTTTAGTGTGAGTGGCGGATCCAGGGGTGGCCACCCCGGCTTAGGATAGGGTGAGTAACCCTTTGTTACTCACCCGTGAGTAACCACCTAGGAACCGTTGATCTGGGGCGGACGGATCGTGTGGCTGTCATTGAAGCGGGATGGTCAGGGGCATTTTTGTCTGTTATTTGAATTAATGAGTTTCCCCTTTTGTCCGTTGCGAATCTTTCTGTGCGCGAGTTGGATTCGGATTTTGGAGAGTCTCAACTATGAGCAGGGGAGCAGCAGCTGAGAAACAAGGACGGCGATTCTCCATGGTTGATCGACGGCGATAGAAACTGCGAGCAGCAGCTTCGAATCGAGCTTTCTGATTCTCGGTCTCCATAATTGATCGACGTGTGCGCGAGTTGGATTCGGATTTTGGAGAGAGAAATTGCGAGCAGGGGAGCAGCAGCTGAGAAACAAGGACGGCGATTCTCCATGGTTGATCGACGGCGATAGAAACTGCGAACAGCAGCTTCGAATCGAGCTTTCTGATTCTCCATAATCGATCGACGTGTGCGCGAGTTGGATTCGGTTTTTGTAGAGAGAAACTGCGAGCAGCTGCTGTGAAACAGGGGACGGCAAATCTTTTGTGATTCTCCATAATTGATCGACGACGAGGTTAGATATTAGTTTTTTTGATTCTTCCTGTTTAGCTAATCGAGTTTTCTGTTGATCTCTGGTTTCGTTGGAGGTTTTTCATTGCTGCTAGTCGAGCTTGTTTATGTTTAGCTAATCGAGCTTGTTCATGTGTTATGTTCTTTGTGGTTTGGTGTTTTTGTAGTATTCTGGTGAGATGAGTTACGTAAATTGTGGCGATGTTGTTCCAATTGATAGATCTGGTTCTTCAACCAGCGTTGTAGGATCTGGTTCTTCATCTAGTGCTGTTGGAATTGCTTCTTCATCTATTGATCTTGAATTTGATCATTCAGCTAACTCTGGTGAATCAGGAGGTAAGATATACAAATTTGTTTGTTTATTGAAGTTTGTATAGTGTCGTAATTTGATTTTACCATGCCTTATCATGTGGTAATTGATTTTACAGTACATTACCATGTGGTAAAATGTGGTAATTAGGAAGTTAAATGTGATGGTTCTGTGTGATAATTGATTTTACCATGTCATACCATATGGTATAGTGTGGTAATTTGATTTTACCATGCCTTATCATGTGGTAATTGATTTTACAGTACATTACCATGTGGTAAAATGTGGTAATTAGGAAGTTAAATGTGAGGATCCTGTGTGATAATTGATTTTACCATGCCATACCATATGGTATAGTGTGGTAATTTGATTTTACCATGCCTTATCATGTGGTAATTGATTTTACAGTACATTACCATGTGGTAAAATGTGGTAATTAGGAAGTTAAATGTGAGGATCCTGTGTGATAATTGATTTTACCATGCCATACCATATGGTATAGTGTGGTAATTTGATTTTACCATGCCTTATCATGTGGTAATTGATTTTACAGTACATTACCATGTGGTAAAATGTGGTAATTAGGAAGTTAAATGTGAGGGTTCTGTGTGATAATTGATTTTCCCATGCCATAGCATATGGTATAGTGTGGTAATTTGATTTTACCATGCCATACCATATGGTATAGTGTGGTAATTTGATTTTACCATGTCATACCATGGTGGTAACTCTTGTATCATGGCTGTAATTATTGGTATACATTGAGATTTCATACTGTTGTGGTGTGGAATCCATTTAATATGTTGTTTCATAATGTTTGTAGGTTTCAATGGTATAGATCCTACTGTTCGTGATTCTTGGAAGGACTTAGAGTTCAATACACCAGATGATGCATATAATTTTTATGTTGATTATGGGAATCATGAAGGTTTTGGTGTGAGGATTTATAACCAATCAGCGTGTCCGAAGCTCAATGGTGGTTCTTCAGCTGTATATTATATCAAGTATTGTTGCAATAAGGAAGGTTGGAAAAGAGGTAGCGAGAATAACCCTGATAATGCAGGTGTTGTTGATACGACAGTTCGTGTTCGTAATGTTCCAGAACTCAGGGGTGGATGTAATGGTGCTTATATACGACTGAGGTGGTTTAAAGAGTTTAAATGCTACAAGATCTATCGTTGGTGTAATGTGCACAACCATGACATGATTCATGAGTCTCTGCGTCACTATGTGAGATCCAGCAGACGAATGGCTCCTGTGTATAAGATGTTGGCAGAGGTGAATGATGCTGCTGGTATTGGTGTGACTTCTTCGTATAATGCAATTAGTAGGGCTGGTGGTGGTCGGAAGTTTGTTGGGTTCACAAAGAATGATATGAAGAATCATCTGCGAACGGTTAGGACGTTATCAATGGAGTATGGTGATGCGACTGCATTGCTTGAATACTTTAGACGTCAAGCACAGCTGGATCCTGGGTTCTTTCATGAGGTGGAGGTTGATGTTGAAGAGAACATTGCTAGTATTTTTTGGGCAGATGGGAAGATGAGGATGGATTATCATTATTTTGGTGATTCAATTAGTTTTGATACTACTTACCGGACTAACAAAGAGTATCGGCCACTAGGTATGTTTTCTAGTTTGTTGTTTATTATTGTCTTTGTTAGTTTGTATGATTATTATTATTATCATTATGTATCATGTTTTTTTTTTGTTCTTACAAGTCTGTACCATATGGTATGGGTTGGTATGGATTGCTTTTTTGTTCTTAAAAGTATTTTACCATATGGTATGTGTTGGTAACAAGGTTATTTGAGGTGGTTTTTGGGTTGTTAGAAGTTTGTACTATATGGTATGGGCTGGTATGCATTGTGTTTTTGTTCTTAAAAGTCTTTTACCATATGGTATGGGTTGGTAACAAGGTTATTTTGTTCTTAAAAGTGTTTTACCATATGGTATGGGTTGGTAACAAGGTTTTTTTTGTTCTTAGAAGTCTTTACCACATGGTATGAGTCTTTAGCATATGGTATGGGTTGGTATTATTGTTATTCGTACCTTTTACCACATGGTATGTGTTGGTAGAATTGTTTTTACTCACATTTTTGTTATGTTTTTGTAGCTTTGTTTGTTGGTTTCAACAATCATCACCAACTGACTGTCTTTGCGGCTGCTCTTCTATATGATGAAACAACGGCAACATTTGAATGGCTTTTCGATCAGTTTTTGAAATGCATGGGAGGTGTGAGACCGTTATCAATGTTTACTGACCAGGCTGCTGCAATTGCTGCTGGTATAAGGTCTGTTTTCCCAGATTGTTTTCATGGGTTGTGTACATGGCATATTGCTCAGAATGCAGTTGTTAATCTGGGAAGTTTGTGTGACTCTGACTTCCTTCGTGAGCTTAGTTATTTGATGTATAATGCTGATGATGAGGATGATTTTGAGTATAATTGGAAGAAGATGATTGAGAAGTGTTTTCCTGGGAAGGGACCTTTGGGACACAGTTGGTTACAGGGCATTTACAAAGTCAGGACGAAGTGGTCTTCAGCCTGGGTGAATTGTCATTTTGGTGCGGGAATGAAGAGTACCCAGCTAAGTGAGTGCTGCAATAGTAATATTCGACATTACTTGCAGTCAGAGTTTAGCGTTAGTAGGTTCTTTGTGCACTTTGAGAGGATGCTTGATAATAAGAGGGATGCTGAAGAACAAGAAGAGTACTACGCCTTATCTAGGTTGGCTGATTCTCGGTTTTCTACTAGCCCTATTGTGAAGCAAGTTGCCAATGTGTATACGCCGAAGATATTCAAGTTTTTTCTGGATCAGTACAAGGAATCTCTTGCGTATAATATTTTTTCCAATACGGAGATAGAACCAGAAGGACATGTAGGAATGTTTGATGTCTTCATATTGGAGGATGACCTTACAAGGTTGGATAGTAGGGTGTTGAAGGTTGATTTTGAAACCGGTGAAATCAAGTGTTCGTGCCGTAAGTGGGAGTCAAGTGGTATGAT